ACAACTTCTTCCCCCTCAAGGTTCGGAGCATGATCCTTAGATGCTGCTCATCATCCTCTTGGCTACGAGGATATACCAAGATGTCGTCACTAAATACGATGACGAATGAGTCAAGATATGACTAGAATACTGTTTACCAAGTGCATAAAGTTTGTTGGGGAGTTGGTCAGCCCTAATGACATCACTAGACACTCATAGTGACCACACCGAGTCCTGAAAGCAGTCTCGGGATATTGGGATCCCGAAACTTCAGTTGATGATACCTTGACCTCAAATCAATCTTCGAGAAAACTCTAGCTCCCTGAAGCTGATCAAACAAATCATCAATATGTGGTAATGGGTACTTGTTCTTTACTATAATCTTGTCCAACTGCCTATAATCAATACACATCAACATAGAACTAACCTTCTTCTTCACAAATAGAATCGGACCACACCAAGGTGAAACACTCGGCTGGATGAAACCCTTATCAAGTAGTTCCTGAAGTTGTTCCTTTAGCTCCTTCAACTCCAATAGTGCCATACGATATGGTTGAATAGAAATGGGCTGATTGCCCGGCACCAGGTCAATTATTGATATCCCTATGGGGCGGCATGCCCGAGAGGTCTGTTGGGAACACATTTAGGACATCTCTCACTATCGGAATTGACTCAGCGGTAGGAGTATCAGCACTAACATCCTTCACAAAAGCTAGATACGCTTCTCACCCTTGATCAACCATCGGTTGTTCCTTAAAAAAGGATACAAATCTATTAGGAATATAATCCAATGTACCCCTCCACTCTAACCGTACCTGGAATGGCCAATGTCACAGTCTTGGCATGACAATCCAGAATAGTGTGATAGGGTGACAACCAATCCATGCGTCATGCTAAATCTACCATACTAATCAGCAATAAATCAACTCTGGTGTCATAACCACCAATAACGACTAAACATGAGCGATAAACACGATCTACAATAATAGAATCTCCCACAGGCATGGATACATACAAAAGAGCACTCAAAGATTCACGAGATATATCCAAATACGGTGCAAAGTAAGATGACACTTATGAATAAGTGGAACCCGAATCAAATAAGACTGAAGCATCTATATGATAGACTGGAACAATACCTATGATGACAGCATCTCATGCAACCGCCTTCGTCCTAGCAGGAAAAGCATAGAAACAAGCCTAGCCTTCCCCTTTAGGGCAGCCTCTACCCTCCTGACCTCCACCCCTAGGTGGAGAGGCAACTTGAGCAGAAACTATGGCCTATGAACTCTCTGGACCCTGTGAACTTTGTGGACCATGTGAAATCCGTAGAGCTTGTGCACTACGTGGAAGTGCAACCCTCCTAAGTCTGGGGCATTCCCTCTCCATATGTCTGGTATCACCATACTCAAAATAATCTCTCGCTGGGCGTGGCTGCTGAAACTGACTCTGGCCTAGTTGGCTGGACTGACTGCTGAAGTCACCTCGTGCAGGAGGTGCACTGGACAGTGGCTGAGCAAAATAGGTAACTTGAGATCCCGGAATAGCCAGAGCACTACTAGTAGCTGGGAGTGCTGAATGAACTGGGCACCTCACATAGCCTCTACCATGACGGGATGCAAGCGGTGCGTGGGCACCACTATACCCTCCAAAATCTCTAGGCCTTTTGGCCTCCCTGTCCTCTCTCTTTCAGCACCGCATATCTTCCAACCTCCGAGCGATCTCTACAACTTGCTGAAATGGAGTATCCGTCTCCAACTCTCGAGCCATGCTGAATTTAAGACCATACCCGCTCTCTGATTGTAGAAACCAATGCAGGTACATGTCGGGATAACTCACTGAATATAATATCATACTCTGACATCGACATAGTCTCCTGACGCAGCTGCTTAAACTCTGTGTGCCACACATCCCGAAGGGTCTAGGGAACAAACCCTCTCAAAAACATCTTTGAAAACTGAGCCCATATGAGTGGGGCTGCATTAGTACCCTCCTCGTAAGCCTTCCACCACCAATACGCTGCTCTTAACGAATGAAATATAATAAAAGCAACTCCGCTCACCTCCACAATACCAATTATGCGGAGAATACGATGGCACTTCTCTAGCTCTGCCGTTGAAAGTAGAAGGATCATACTTCTTGAACCTCTCAAGTCTCCTCTTCTCCTCCTCAGATACCTCTGGCCTAACCTTAGGATGAGCCGGTATAACGGGCTTTGCTAGTAGGACACTCGGGACCTGATCAATGTGGATCTGTTGCTATGGGGTACGGGCCGCAAGAGTCTAAGCTCCTCCCCCAGCCTGAGATGTGGCTGGTGCAAGGGGAATCAATCCCGCATGAGCTAGAGTGCCGAACATGCTCAAAAACTATGCTAGGGTCTCCTGAATTCTAGGGGCAACAACAGGCGTCTTGGGTGCTTGTCCCCCAATCAGAGCTACTCCGCAGTCGGTGCTCGGGCAGATGCTCTAGCTGCAGCACATGCCCCTCCTCGGCCTTTGCCCCGACCTCGGCCTCGCGCGGCTCTAGCAGGGGGCGCGGGTGTCTGATAATCAGATCCAGCAGTGCATGTCCTCACCATCTATGAGAGAATATAAATACAAAGACTTAGGTTTCGGAATCAACAATTCGCATGATAAGGAATCAAGGAAGTGGAATCTTCTAACAGTTTGCAGCCTCTCGAAGATAAGTACAGGCGTCTCTATACCGATCCGCAAGACTCTACTAAAATTTGTTATGACTCGCAATACCTATGGACCTAGTGCTCTAATACCAAATTGTCACGACCCCAATTTCGCACCATAGGATATCATGATGACACCTAGTCTGTAAGACTCAGTGATAGCTTAACAGAAATAATAAACTAAGATAATAGAATAAAGTGATAAAGCTCATAATAGCTCCAAAATGAAACATCAGTAACAAAATTCCCATAAATGATGGAACTGAGTCATAAGCTCTACAAAAATATACTAAAATCTCTAATAAAACATGTCTGATAATAGGATAAACAGTAGTAAAAGGAATGACAGAAGGTGACTTCGAGGCCTACGAGTGTCTAGTAGGTATACCTTGAAGTCTCCGGACAATAACTAATCGATCACTGGCGTCCGACATGAGTAGATGTACCTAGATCTGCACAAAAATATGCAGAGTGTAGTATGAGTACATCACAACAGTACCCAGTAAGTATCAAGCCTAACACCGGTAGAGTAGTGACGAAGTCAGCTCAATACACCTACTAGGACAAGAAAACTTAACAGAGTATAGTATAATCTAATAATAAAGAGTGAGGAAATGAATGACATTAAACAGTGTAATATTGTAAACTAACAACAGAAATTTAAGGTGGTAAAGGCAACGAGAAGTGAACACTTGAATAGAACAACAGTAATCAAATACGGACAAATATAAGTAAGACAGATGAAGAATCAACAAGAACTGTTCGACCAACAAGCCTTTTAACATAGAAAGTACATCAAGAATCACAACCGAGGCATTGCACCTCATAATCTCATTTCACAAGTCACAATCAAAATCTTCCTTATATCATCGCGTGAGCCTTGCATTTATTTTTCTAAAAATATTTTTTCTAAATAGCTACACGTTTTTAGCCCCCTTATCTCACCACATGGCTTCAAGTAATTCCTTTACTAGCAACACGCATATAAATCCCACTTTATCTCACCGTATGCGTGTCAACCCCTGTCCTTATACTACCACATGCGTATTAATATCACAACACAATAATCAACTCGCACCACACGTTCCCATATGCCACCACACTTGTAAAAATTAACAATATCAATTTTATCACAACAAACCCATGGCTCAACCATAATGTCTGCAAGAATCTCAATAATAACAATATGAATAATAAATACTCAACAAGGAAAGATATCTCAACAATCAACAACTTCAACCTCAATGTCTTAATATCTTTCACAACTCCAACATCAGTATCCCAATAAGAAGATATTCCCACGAATGACAACTTCAAGTAAGGGTACAACAAACAACAACAAACTTAGTGTAGTCTCACAAGTGGGGTTTGGGGAACTTTAAGTAAGGGTAATTTAACAATAAAAGAGGTAACACGACAATAAAAGAGGTAGCAGCTTCAACTAAAGCATATAAAAGCAATAATAATAAAAGATAAAACATGTGCTAACAAGGTCAATTAGAGCATGTGAGAGAGAATTTAACAATGAAGGATATAACATGTTATGACGGTTTCAATTAAATGCATGAAGAAGTCTAAAAGTCCAAACCGGTAAAAATATCACATATAAGCCCGTCTACTGGCTCGTCACCTCGTGTACACGTCTTTTACATAATAAAAATAACACAAATAACCCAAGTCCTAAGGGTAGTTACCCCACTCAAAGATAGACAATATACTTACCTCAACTAGGCCAAATCAAGCCTCAAAAATAGCTTTTCCCCTAAAATTCACCTTCACAGCTCAAATCTAACAAAAAATGAATTAATATCATCAAACAATGCAATGGAAAATAAATTACGATAGATAAAGCTATAATCTTTACACAATTCCTAAAAAAGTCAACAAAAATCAATCCACGGGCTCGCCCAGTGAAAACCCGATCCAAGGGTATATTCCGACTACCCATAATCCCCTGAGTTCATATATGTGTTTTGTTTTCAAATCCGAGTCCAAATCGATTATCAAAATCCAAAATTTTATGTCTCAAAACCTTGACAAAAATCCCTAAAACTCCTCTTTGATTCTCATAAATTTGATGTTAAATCTAAGATATAATCATGAACAGTAGAAAATTGATTTGAATCACTTACCCAATATTTGTAGATGAAAATCCCCTCTCTAAATCGCCTCCTACCAAGTCTAGGGTTCTAAAATGAGAAAACATGAGATGAAATCCATACTTTCTAACCTTTTATTCAATTGCAGATATCGCAAAATCCGATACTAGCACCCTTCCAATTGTGAAGAATGCCTCGCAATTGCAGCACTGACGGTCTACGTGGGAAGTCGCAAATGCGACATGGGCTTCACAATTGCGAAGCCTGCTTCCCCCGCAATTGCGACTAATGTGTCGCAAATGCGAACCTACCCAGCCTAGGTACTACTTCGCAATTGCGATCCAGTAATCGCAAATGCAACACCTGAGACCCCCCCCCCCCCTGCTAGGATCGCCATCGCGATGCTGGTGTTCGCAATTGCGACATCAGAGACACCAGCACACCAACAACCTGTTTCAGTTCATAATCATTCCGAAACACGTCCGAAACTCACCCGAGCCCTCGGGGATCCTAACAAAACATCCACACAAGTCTAAAAATATCATATGAACTCGCTCGTGCAATTAAACACAAAAACATATCTAGAACTACGAATCGGATATCAAAACGCATGAATTTCAAGAAAAAGTTCAAGAACCTCTAGAATTGCAACTAAGCGTCCAAATCCTATCAATCCAACTCCAAATAATACCAAATTTTACAGACAATTTTCAAATAGTAAAACGGACCTATTCTAACTCCCAAAACTAAATTCCATACCCGATAGCCAAAAAGTCAACCTACGGTCTAACTTGGGAAAACTTCTAAACCTCAAATTGCCAACTTTCGGCAAAATAAGTCAAATCAACCTAGGGACCTCCGAATTTAATTTCGGGCATACGCCCAAGTCAAAAATCACGTTACGAACCTATCGGAGCTATCAAAACACTGATCCAGGGTCGTTTTCACAAAAGCCAAACTTTGATAAACATTTCTAACTTAGGCTTCTAAACCAAGAACCAAACGGTTCAAATCAACCCAAAACATTTCCAGAATAAAACTAAATAACACCACAAGTCATAATACCATAAATACACATGTGTGAAGCAGTAAAATGGAAATCAGGTTCATATATTCAAAACGACCGGTCTGATTGTTACAGTATTATTTGGTGGCTGATCTGGAGCGTAAAATCTCCATCTTAATAGCAATTACAAATGCCGTTTTGAGGCACCAGTAGGCAAACCAACAACTTCTTTATATTCTTAATCAAAATCCCAAAACAATTAATTTATGTAAGCCTAAAAGCTAATATCTGTGGTAGAAACACACATATGCCGCCACTACCATAAGCACCTATTTTTAAATTTATGTATATCTATTTAATCAACCAATAGCCTGAAAAGCGTCTCAATGATTTAACATGATATCGGCTCCGATACCAATTGTTAGAACCAAAATACTTTAAGATAAAATTATCATCTTTTACCCAAGAACTTTTATGTTAAATCATCGAGAATAAAAATTAGATGCGGAAGCATACCTGAATCCATGAAAACGACTTGAATTCTTCTGTCTAGTGGTTAGTAGTCTTCCAAACCAAGACGTAGGAATTGCACAGATGTCGGCTCTCCCTTTTCCAACAATGGGATAATCGAAAAGAACCCTACATATGATTTGGAGACCATAACCTCTATTTATAGATGCACACAGTTTACGTAATTCTAATTTAGCTCATCATTAAATTAGAAATTACATCTGAATATCTACACATAAGACCCCATACTTTGGAGGTATCTTATTGACTCATTTAACTTTAAACCTTAGCATATCACTTTTAACTTGATCAATTTTTTAACGATAGCAACCAACATACAATTATTCTTAATATAAAATATATGTGCATGTCCATAAACTCTTACATATATGGCAAGTAATTATTCTTTATTTTGAAACAAATACAGATAGCAAACTCTCCTCATTTGGATGCTAAGTTGTCTGACATATGCGTTGGCACCTCGGCTGCTCCAACTTTTTTTCCTCAATTTTATTTTGAGAATGATGATGGTAAAGGAAATCAGTATAAATTCAATCTTATTGATGGTGCTGTTCTTGCTGTCAATCCGGTACATGTCCCTCCTATAAATCATCTTGATAATCTTCTTTTGTTAGATATATTAAAAGAATTTATTTAGGGGTCTCTTTAATTAGTGTGGATTATCTCACTTGATTTATTCAACAGCATGCTCATTAACTCTACTTTAATAATCATAATGTATCTTTGATTATCATATAAATCAGTGTGTGTCATCTGTTAGAAGATATTTCTAATCTCAAAAATAAAATATAGTATAATCATTATCATTTACTACCCATAATTAATAACCATTATTATAATATTATAACTAACTTTTTATTAGCCTTAATGGTTTTATTTGTAACACCCATTTGAATAGCTTTTAATGACTTTGAATTATTTTCTTAATGTTGCTTACCATCAGACGTTAAGATCTTTGGACTATATATATATTTTCCTATGTGTTACTTTGAAGAGTGAGTGAAAAAAGTGAAAGCTTTTCTTCTAGATTTTTTCTATTGTGCTGGGTTTATTTTGATTAAGCTTTGTTGTTTCTGCTCCTAGTTATACTAGAAGAGCTTGTTGAATCCTGGGGGATACGCCTAATTTATTTATCATGGTGTGGGCGAAATATCCTTAAGGACAGTGTCTTTGACACGCCTTAAGCTAAATCGTTTATTCTCCATAATCTTTCAATTTTTTCCAACATCATCTTACCGTTTGTTGCTACTATTTTCTTATTTATTTATAGATTTAACTCAAATAGACTCCCACTTAATCTTTTAAACTAAAAACAGCCAGAGGATGTATAATATATGTATAACTATGTATAATCAATGCATAATTTACGTATATCGGCTAAAAAAAGTAAACAATGAATCTAACCGGTTATTTGTGTAACAATCCCATTTTATTTTTCCATGAGCCGGGGTTTATCGGAAAAAGTCTCTCTACTTTTAAGGTCGGGTTTAGATCAGCGTACACATTACCCTCCCCAACCCCGCTTGTGGGATTCTACTGGGTTTATCGTTTTTGTTCTTGTTGCTTATATACAAAAATTTATTCTCCTTCTATTCATTTTTACTTGTCTTCTATACTAAAAATACATTTTCACTTTTACTTGTTCATTTTAGCAAATCAAGATAAAGACAATCTTTTTTTTTTTGTTTTACCCTTATCATTAAATATCCGTTTCTCAAATCATTTTTCAAGACTTTTTCAAATGCTATTATATTTATGGATAAAATTGTAAAATACATACTTCATTTATTTTTTTCTTAAGGGAAGTGCAAAATTGAAAGTGGACAACTAAAAATGAGCAAAGGGAGTATATGTCTAACTAGGATGTAACATGCTTTAATAATAGTCGCGCTCACTTTTGTAACAATGCAAATTAATACGTAAAATATTTCCTTTTGTCCCAAAAAACAAGTAATTAATAGACATTTAAAATGACGAGTAACGACGAACTTCTAATTGATCATAAATGTTAATTAGTGCATACATATACAATGGTTGACAGGCCTTAATTGCCCTAAGCACAGTAGCCAACAGTGCGGAGGCGGATCCATCATTTGCCTCTATCAAGCCATTGGACTTCAAACAAATTCTGCTGCTCTCATTAGGGACTGGCACTACTGCAGATTTTGCTGGGACATACACAGCACAGGAGGCAGCTAATTGGGGTCTTGTTTCCTGGCTATTCAATAATAATTCGAGTCCTCTTGGTGAAATGCAATCTGAAGCAAGTGCTATCATGAATGCTTATTACATCGCCACCATCTATCGAGCCCTTGGTGCTGAAACGAATTACCTCAGGATTGAAGTAAGGCAATCTCGCTCAAAAACACCTTAACACTCCTAATTATATGATTATTTCATGTTGATTAATTTAAGAGTAAGGCATCATTGTAGGTATAACTGATGATTTATGAGTTTAGTGTCGATCATAGCTAGGAAGCTATCATAACTAACCTTTTTTATTGGGTACTCATTGACCGAATCCTGGAGAATAACAAAAATAGGATACTTTTGTGCCACTAGTGATCTTTTGACCCCAATAAAAGAAAGTTTTGAGAAAATTCCCTCATAACTGAATTTTAAGATACGTTGAGCAGGATTTTTCCTGACATATCACGAGAATTTTATTAGGATTTTGCCATAAATCCTGACATATCACCAGAATTTTTCAGCATTCTGGGCGAAAAACAATAGAATTTTTTGTGCTTCAAAATTCTAGCGCTGAAAATTCTAATGATCATTAGAATTCTTGGTGCTTCAAATTCTGATGAGCGTGCTTTAAAATTCTGATGCGGAGCTATTTTTTCAAATCTTTTTAATGGGATTAAAAGTAGTTTAAAAAAGTCCATTCAGCATCATTTCTAATTTGAATTCACACCGCATATATTAAAGTGGAAATTACTAAATTTCTCAATTCTTAGAACTCGAAGCAAGCGTGGAATAATCTCATGCATCCACATATCTTCATTGTTATCATAACCAATTACTGTTGTGGATATATTCATTCCATTTTGTAACATTAGAAAGTAGGACTGGGTCCTTTTTTTTGCCCTTGCAGTCAATCTTCGATGTTGACATGACGTCAATTGTACCCAAGATTTTTTTAGTAAAACATTATTTTAGTAGTTAACATGAAAGAGGGAAAAAAAGATCAAAGTTGAGCTTCACACTTTACTCCTGGGGTGGGGAAAACATGAAAAATTTGTAAGTTTCCAATATCTCATGGCTATTTGTGTGATCATAAAAACTTTTCACTAAAAATAAAAGAAGTTTAAGTTAAATTATTTTCAAATTTAACAAGCTGTCATTATTTTTAGAGCAGACTAAACAATAATTATTGTCACATAAATTGGAACAGAAAGGGCAAGGTCAACCTGGTGCACGAAGCATCCCGTATTCAAGTAGTGTCTGTGAAGGACCGCACCCTAAGGGGAATTAATGTAGGCAGCCTACCCTGATGCAGGCATTAATGGCTGATGGCTCGAATCTGTGACCTATAGGTCACACGAAACCTTGGAGCAATGGTAATCAGTGGCTGATTACACAGCCCGAACCCGTAACCTATAGGTCACACGACAATAATTTTGTTGTTGCTCCTAGGTTCCCTTCATAAATTGGAACATAAAGTGTAATTAATTATTCTTTATGTGTAATACAAGGAAAATGCATTAATAGGCACAACTATCCAATCAGATGATGCTTCAGAAGATAATATGAAGTTACTGGTACAAGTTGGTGAAAACTTGTTGAAGAAACAAGCTTCCAATGGGAATTCTGAAACCAATGAGGAAGCTCTAAAGAGGTAAAACACATATATATTAACCATCATTTTTTAAATCTATTTAGAGCCTGTTTTTTGGTCGAATTAAAAATCTATTTTATTTCTACTTATAATTGTTTCCTTTGTACGTAGGTTTGCAAAACTGCTCTCAGAAAGGAAGAAACTCCGAGCAAACAAAGCCTCTCAATAACTCTAAGGTCTTGATTGTTATTGTTTCTTATTACGCTAAAGAATAAGCGCTTGTAAGGTTGAGGGATAAATTTCACTAGAGATATCCCTCTATGTAATATGCTAAGCCAAAACAACATAAAAAGAAAGGGAAAATAGTAATTTTAGTCCCTGAATTATGATGTTATTCTTGTTTCAGTCCGTATGTAATTTGACAACATATTTAACCTTCAATTATATCAATTGTGCAATTTTAATCCCCTTGATTGCTGTAGAATAATGGCGTTAGATAGGGGGGAGTGCGCGGTTACCCACTAATAACACATGTATTTACTTTTAAGCCATTGTTTAAAATATCTTTAGTCTTTAGCCACTGCTTTAATAAACTTTATCTGCCCGGACGAAAACACCCTTCTGCTCATAAAAGTTCAGGACCAAGTGTCCTTAACTTTTGAACTTGCAACTCTATGTTCAGGACTTCAGGACTATATGTCCTTAACTTTTGAACTTGGAACTCGAAGTTCAGGACTACCTGTCCTTAAGTTCTGTGCTTGTAACTCTAAGTTAAGGACTACTTGTCCTTAACTTTTGAACTTGTAAGTTTATGTTCAGGACCTATTGTCCTTAACTTTTGAGCTTGTTAGTCTAAGTTCAAGACCAAGTGTCCTTAACTTTTGAACTGGTAATTGTAAGTTCAGGACCAAGTGTCCTTAACTTTTGAGCTTGTTAGTCTAAGTTCAGGACCTATTGTCCTTAACTTTTGGGCTTCTTAGCCTAAGTTCAGGACCTATTGTCCTTAACTTTTGAGCTTGTTAGTCTAAGTTGAGGACTTCAGGACCTATTGTCCTTAACTTTTGAACTTGTAACTGTAAATTCATGACCTATTGTCCTTAACTTTTGAGCTTGTTAGTCAAAGTTCAGGACCAAGTGTCCTTAGCTTTTGAACTTGTAATTCTAAGTTCAGAACCAATTGTCCATAACTTTTGAACTTGGAACTCAGAAGTTCAGGAACAAGTGTCCTTAACTTTTGAACTTGTAACTGTAAGTTCAGGATCCATAACGTAGCAAAAAACCAAACGTTCTATAGCATAAGCTTTAAGTCCATCAACGAATAATAAACATTTCATAAGAGAAATAATAAGTTTTTGCAAGAGCTAACAAAATTGTGTATTCAAGTAAAATATACATATGTAGCAAAATTTGCAGAGAAGTTTGCATGACCAGTTTGAGTGCATTTTTTTGCCCAGACATGGAGTACACGTTAGGGACTGTACTTTTTTGAATTTCTATCATATACTATACGCTTTACATTTGGGTGGCAAGCTATAATGGTTTGAGTGTTTGACAGATTTTTGTGAGATCCGTTGCTGGTGAATACTGCATAGTGTAATATGAATTACATTCTTTCTGAAGAAAGGGAGCCGCCGTCTCACAGACGGCGGTACAATTTTTCTCCCTAACATGAAAGAGATAGAAGAAAGGGTGACACAATCTTTTTATATTAATTTTAATAGATTAGTGACTACTATTACTAAGCATTGAAAATACTGGATAAAAAATAAATACCACTTTAAAAAGTGGCTACCCCACACAATTTTTACGTGTTAGATATATAATCCCCATTCTAGTTTTTGGCCTCGGGTATATTGGTTATATTAACTTCTTAAATTGCCATCTTTCTATATATGAACATATTAAAACTTATACCATAAAAATGGCGCATGCAACACTTCTTTTCCCGCCCCCGCATAAAAAGATTCTCCTTATTTTATTACTTTTCTTTAACTTCATAACAAAATAATAAATGATGGTCTAAATACAATCCAATAACAAAATTCTAATAAATTAAAATATGTGTTGTCTAATTATGATCATTTAGGATTAGCGCTGACGATTAAAGAAATGAAATAAAGAATGGGGCATGGATGTAACGAACCGACCGATCGTTTTGCTTTCTAGATTCTCGTTCCCCTAATTAAGACTTCTAGTATGTGCTTTTACTGTTTTATGACTTGTAGAAATAGTTGGTTTAGGTTTGGAAGGGTTCGAGTTGAAATCGGTACACTTAGTTCCTTAATAGTAGCTTATGATGGCCAAGTTTGACTTGAGTCAACATTTTGAGTAAACAACGTTGGAACCGGGATGTGATAGTTCCAATAGGTTTGTATGATGATTTTGGACTTGGGCATGTGTTCGGATCGGGTATCGGGGTGATCCGGGAGCATTCGGCACTTAATATTGAAAGTTGGTTCATTGAAGTTTTTCTAGTTCTTTAAATTTTGTTTGAATTATACTTTGGTGCTATCGAGGTACGTTTGAGATTTCGAGCCTGAAAATAGGTCCATATAGTGATTTGTGACTTGTACGCAAAATATGGTGTCATTCCGAGTAGTCAAAGTATGATTCGGCGCATTCGGAGTTAGTTAAGAAGTTGAAGTTCATAAGTTGATTCAATTTGGTTTTAGGGTGTGATTCGTAGTTTCAAAGTTGTTTTATGTATTCCAAGAGTTAGAGCAGGTCCGTATTATGGTAATAGACTTGTTGGTGCATTTGGACGGGGTCCCGGGGAGCTCGGGTGGGTTTCTGATCGCTCGGAGCTAAGTCCAAAAATCTGCTGGTGTTTTGTTCTAGTTTCCTTCTTCGCGAACATGGAAGGACTCTCACGATTGGGAAGAAGGATTTGGGGACTGGGTGATGTTGCCCTTCGCGTTCGCGAAGCAGGAGTCGTGTTCGCGGAGGCATCGGACTAGTGGCCTTCGCGTTCGCGGTCGACTGGTCGCGTTTGCGTTCGCGTAAAAGACCTGAGTCTGGGCCTTGGCAACTCAATTGCCTTTCGCGTTCGTGGTTGGAGGCACGCATTCGCGAATAGAAGACGGTCTATGTCACGACCCGAAATCCGAACCAGTCGTGATGGCGCCTATTACTAGGCAAGCCAACATTTTCAAAGCATTTTCAATATCTCGCAGAAAAATAAACCAAAAGTTTTCAAATAAACAGAGTTTTCGTAAAACAGGGGTTAAACCCAAAATACAAGTGCGGAAAATAGCCCCAACATCGGGGTGTCACTAATTCATGAGTATCTAAACATAACAATGTCAGCAAATAAAATGACTATCACAGTCTGAATCTAAATACAACGAAAGAAAGGATAAGGAAGAAGAAAACAAGGTCTGCGAATGGCAGGCAGCTACCTCGCTATTTCCAACGGTCAGCTACGAGAACAATCAACACCCTCCGCGTCCAGAAACTCCTGGATCTGCACACGAAGTGCAGGGTGTAGGGTGAATATAACCAACTCAATAAGTAACAATAATAAATACGGAACTGAAGATGGTGACGAGCTATGCAGTTATAATTCAATTTCAATAGTCTCAACAAGAAAAATAGACATGCTTCCCAAATCCGATAAATTAAGTCAAATCAGTATGTTTATTATGCCAAGTTTAAGTAAAACCGGATAAATATATCTTTTAGAAGTTTTCAAAACAGTGATAAAAGGCAACTGTGTGCAACAATAATGAATCATAAATGGCCTCTCAAGGAAACATTCACTCAGTCCTCCCATTCACTCCAACCTCACAATCACTCATTCCTCACAGCCACTCATTCCTCACGATCACCAGCACTTGGCACTCGACACTCACACTCACTAGGTACCTGCGCTCACTGGGGGTGCATACAGACTTCGGAGGGGCTCCTACAGCCCAAGTGCTATATCAAGCCAATCATGGCATAAACCAATGAAACATGCTATGTCGTGCAACCCGATCCCATAAATATCCTCACAATCAGGCCCTCGGCCTCGCTCAGTCATCAATCTCTCCAGTCTCTCGGGCTCTCAAAAAATAGGAAAATCAGCCCAAACAGCAATAACATGATGTACCAATAAGTACAAGCTGGGCAATATGCGAGTAAAAGCTCAGACTAAGTACAAATAGCATGATGTACCAATATGCGAGTAAAAGCTGAGACTAAGTACAAATAGCATTTAGCAGGCAATTCGTCATGAAATGCAGCTTGTGTGGGTTCCAACAGTACCAACACATAGCCTAAACATGGTTTCTAACATGATTTACAGTCAAATTTCTATAACACATAGAGGGCATATAGCTAACAGCAAGTTATTAAACTTTGTAGTTTCACGGGACGGACCAAGTCAAAATCCCTATGGTGCACGCCCACACGCCCGTCACCAAGCATGTGTGTCACCTCCGAAACAATCACATAACACAAATCTGGGGTTTCTTACCCTCAGGACCAGATTTAGAACTGTTACTTACCTTAATCCGAGCAAAACTGTATTCCAAAATGCCCTTGCCTCGCGAGTCGGCCTCCAAATGTCCCGATTCTAAGCACAAATAGTATAATACAATCAATATGGGCTAAAAGAATCAATTCTACAAGAAAAATAAAATATTATAGCTCAAAATCCGAAATCGGCTCAAACCCGGCCCTCGATCCCACGTCTCCAAATCCGACAAAAATTACAAAATCCAAAAGTCCATTCACTCACGAGTCTAACCATACCAAATCTACTAAATTCCAATATCAAATGTTCATTCAAGTCCCCAAAATTCATTCTCCAAATCCCTAGCCTCAAACTCCAAAATTTCACCTCAAAAATATACCAACTAGGTGGGAACTCAATGGGAAAACATCATTAATGAAGAAATATGAACACAAGGAGCTTACCTCAGCAATCTCTTGAAAAACCCTCTCAAAAACCTCCAAAGTCCGAGCTCAAAATGATGAAAATGGTGAAAATCTCGAAGTCTCGTATTTATATGTTCTGCCCAGGTCTTCCGCACCTGCGGCAAAAATCTCGCTTTTGCAGTCCCGCTTTTGCGATGGAAAGTCTGCTTCTGCGGAAATCACTAACTCCTCCATCTACTACACCTGCACACACCTTTCTGCTTCTGCGCCACAGACCGCATCTGCGGCCTCGTAGGTGCGGAAAGAAACTCGCACATGCGGCTACTACCCAGCTCCCTCCTTTTCGCTTCTGCGGGCTCTTCCCGCTTT